AAAAGTCAAAGTGTAAAATACTTTTTCGGTACCGGGAACCGAACTCACGACCTCGCGCTTGCCAGGCAGGCGCTTTGCCGCTGAGCTAAATCCCCAGCCCCAAAGTGTAAAATACTTTAGGTATTTGTGTGGCGTCTAACAATGTAGCTGTGATTGACTCAAAAGTTTAAAACATCCTGCAACATCTCTGTGAGTTCTGTGGTACTCCAGGGCATCGCAGTTCACCATAATCCTATCACTACTTTATTTTTCTCCATAGTACTTACAGCCCTATGCATGATATTTACGTATTATGTTTCCTCCTTTACAATGTGAGTTCCATGGGGATGGATGTTTTGTCTTTGAAAACTGCTATATCATCCCATTCCTAGAATGATACCTGACATTTGCAGGTTTTAAATATGTATTTGATTTTAAATTCATAAGCCAACTTAAGTGTATGTGAGAGTTATAAAAGGGTCTTTAATCTCCCCAACCATTAGTAAGTCAAATTCTCAAAAGAACTACAAATAATTTAAAGGTTCATTTGTTATAAACACTGCATTAAGATTATACTTTGTATAATCTGTAAAACAAATGATAGCATAGCATTAAATCTTACAGCTGCTATTTAACCTTTCATTGTGATGCAATAAAGACTCAAGAGACAAGAAAACATTCAGAATAACAGTCATACACAACTGAAGTAAAATGATAAAACTTTCAGAATGACAATACATTTAACAAACTTGCCAGAATACACATTTGCTCTTATCACGAAAAACTTGACTAATTAGCCCTGAAACAAATGCTTGAATAAGCACAGCATTTAAAATAAATTTGTATACAGAACACATTCTCAGGAAAATTCCGAAGTTTGTCTACTCTACAACCTTTCTCATTTAATCTGAAAATTAAATTCCACTGAGCAAGTACTATTATCCCCAAAATGTCATTAAGTTTTCCAACTGTCTCCTTGATCCATATAGTCCATTCTTGCCATCCAAAAATAAAAGAAAACTTCATTAAGGCTGAAATAATAAAGTTCAGGCATTCTTTTTTTTTTTTTTGGTTTTTCTCCGGTACCGGGAACCGAACTCACGACCTTGCGCTTGCCAGGCAGGCGCTTTGCCACTGAGCTAAATCCCCAGCCCCTTATTTTTTTTTTTTTTTTTTTTTTTTTTTTAGTTCAGGCATTCTTAAAGCTGAAATAAAAAATTTTAAAAGTCAATGATAGATAAGATTCTAAATTTTCTATGAAATTTGCATGCTTTTTAAAACTTTATTATATTTACTACAATTTTGTTTTTGTAGATTCAGTAATACTAAATTGCTTGTTGGGTTTGGTGGCTTCTTGCATCAGTTCCTGTAACTGTCCAATTTGTTCATCACGGAAGTCATTAAGTTTTTCTTCTGAGAGGGGGGTGCCAAAGCATGCTTCTCCAGTTGAATTTTGTCTGTTTTCGTTAGCTTGTTGCCTTAATGTTGCTGCATAAACCTAGTAAAAAGAGAAAGAAAAATGAAGGCTAGATATAAAATTATGATCTATGTTAATTAAATACTAAGGAGTACATAAATTCTAATCTGTGCCACCTTTTTCGAATCACCTATTTTTTGACATCACTAAATTTCTCCATTTGGTTAAGAAGTTACAAACAATACAGTCATGTATTTACTATTTAGTGATGTTCAAATAGATGTTATTTTAAGCACCTACTTCTGGGACCATAGCTTTCATCAGATTTTCAAAGAGGACCATGGGTCTCAAAATTCATTAAGTCTATTCCCTTATCTTCAATTAAAATTTAAAACACACCAGAGAGAACGGAACTTTTTAAGTCTTTTTAGACCTTCAATATTTAACAGTCATCTTTGCCATGAAAAACATCTATATTTTTCATGTTTAATTCTGCTCTTATTCAGTCAGCATGTTTAGCTTAATATTCAAATTATCATTTTCTGCAGTATCCCTTTTCTGAAACAGATGTCAATCGAAACTTAATCTGTTAACCAAGCTGAAACTACAATGTATTTGGGTTCCTAAACATGATATGCATACACTACGTAAGTTAAGCAACTGGTTAATACAGAACAATGTTGCGCCTCAGCCTGGTTTGAGACATCTAAATTATTTATGATCACTATTTTACTAGCACCACCAAAGCAGTTTCAGTTTTAATTGCAAATATCTACTTTTTTTTGTTTGTTTTTTTTCTGGTACTGGGAATTGAACTCACGACCTTGTGCTTGCCAGGCAGGTGCTGTGCTGCTGAGCTAAATTCCCAGCCCCTGCAAACATCTACTTTTAACGGAAGGATTTTCCTGATGTTTTAGAGAAATTCATTTTAAAAAATAACAAAACATTGCACATACCATAAGTTTTATCAATTCCACTTCTACATCTATATCTCAGAGCAGGGTTTCTCAATTTTTTGGCATACTGAGAATTTGGATAATTGAGTAATTCTTTGTTCTGTGATAGGTAAGAGTTTCTTCTTGCATTGTAGGATGTTCTAAAGCGTCTCTGGTCTGTAACCACTAGATGGTATTCCCATCACCTCCCTCTGCTAATCTTGATGATTTAAAATGTCTCCAAACATTGGCAGTATTGCCTGCCAAGCAAAATCATCCTTGATGAAGAACTACACAATAAAAGCTTTCAAGCGTGTGAACAATAAGCATGCACAAGAATGCTTATTAAAACAAGAAACTACAAACAATCTAACTGTACTTCAAGAGGAGAAAGGACAAATTAACCCCGAGGTTAATCCAAAGGATAGATTAGGGAGTAGTAACAGCAGATGAGCAAAATAGCTATACACCAACATGGATGAACCTAAAAAAAAATCTATAAATCAGGCTTAAAAAAGCTATTCACTTACAGAAATAGAAAGCTTGTTCTCAAATTAACATAATTGTAAAGGGACTTTAAATAGCCAAAACAATCTTGAGTAAGAACAAAATTGGAGGGCTTAAACTTCCAAATTTCAAAATTTATTGCAAAATCAAAAGAGTGCAGTTCTGGTGTTGGAGTAGATATATAACATCAATGGAACTGAGAGTCCAGAAACAAACCTTTAAAACACATGGCTTACTGGTCTTTAACAGGGCTGTCAAGGCCATTCATTGAGAGAAAGAACAAGCTCTTCAACAAATAGTACTGGAAAACTGGACTTTCATATTCCAAACAGTGAGGATGATAACCAAGGATGTGAAAGACTTCCATAATGAAAATACAGAAAACAGAAGAAAGAAACGGAAAACACTAGAAGATGAGAAGACCATCCCTGTCCCTAGATTGGCAGAATATTGTTTAAATGGCCATAGTACAAAAAGCAATCTACAGATTCAATGCAATGCCCATAAAATACCAATGACATTCTTCACAGAAGTAGATAAACAATCCTAAAGCCCAGAAGACCCACAGGAGCCAAGCAATCCTCAATAGCTCTGCTGGAGACATCAAAATACCCAATTTCAAAACACACTACAAAGGTACAGGGACAAAAACAGCATGGCACTCGAACAAAAAATAAACATGTGGACCAATGGAATCAAATAGAGAACGAAACAAACCCACACAACTAGAGCCATCTGATTCTTGACAGAGGGACCAAAAAACAATGTGTCTTTCGCAAATGACACTGGTTAAAGTATGTCAAAGACAGGAACTAAATCCCTATCTCTCATGCTGTACAAAAGTTTATTTCACAGGTGAAAGAAATGAATTTTTGTAACTCCTACAAGAACACATAGGGAAAAAAATAAAGTCTTTCAAAGTCAGGCAAAGACTTCCTGAAAAGGACACCAATCATACAAGAAATAATGCCAAGAATCAACAAATAGAATTACATCAAATTTAAAAGCATCTGCATAACAAAGAGAAGAATTAACAAAGTGAAAAGACAGCCTGGAGAATGAGAGAACATCTTTGGTAGCTCCACTTCTAACAAAGGATTAATATCCAGAATATATAAAAAACTCAAAAAAGAATATGCACAACAAAAATGAAAGAATGGGCAAATGAATTGAACAGGCATTTCTCAAATGGCCAATAAGTGTAAGAAAAACTGTTCAACAACTTTGCCATCAGGGAACTGCAAAGAGACTATATTGAGATAAGTGTTGTGAGGACTAAATATATTAACACAAAGTGTTGTGAAGACTAAATATATTAATACATGCAAAGTGTTTAGAAACTTTCTTGGTACATAGTATGTTTTTAATAAATAGTATAATTTACATTATTATTCAACAAAAAAAAGTGAGGTTGGATTCTCATCTCTTGCAACACAGAAAAACTAACTGAAAATGGATCAAAGATCTAAATGTAAAGAGATAAAACTGCAAAACTACTAGAAAAAGAAATATGGGTAAATGTTCACAATTTTTGACTTAGCAATGGATTCTCAGACATGACACCGAAGTTCTGAACAGCAGAAGAAAATGGACTTCATCAAAATTAAAAACTCTTATACATCAAATATACCCATAAAGTGAAAAGACACACAAAGTGAGAAAAAGTTGCAAGTCAAACATTGATGAATTTTGTATGCAGAATATATAAAGAACTACAACTTTCCAACAAAAGGAAAATTCAATTAAAAACAGGCGAAGGACTATAGGAGATATTTCTCCAAAGAACACAGGTATTTAATATCATTTGTCATTAGGGTGATATATATCAAAACTACAAGATGCCAGTTTACACTTACCAGAATGGCTACTATAATACCAGAAAATAACAAGTGATAAGGATGCGAAAAAACTGAACCCCTATTCACTGATGGTAAAATATAAAAACAAGATGGGGACTACAGAAGAATCTGACACTTCCTCAGAAAAATAAAGCACAATTTGCAGATAGAAACTCAGATACAACCACGGTCATAGCAGTATTATTCACAATAGACAGCAAAAGCCCAAGTGTTCATCAATAGATAAAACCTGGATAGACATACAATGAAATATTCTTACCCTTTAGAAGGAAAGAAATGCTAATACATGCTACACTGTGGATGAACTTTGAAAATACGGTAAATGAAATGTCATATAAGAGGACATACGTGACTCCTTCTTATGAAATATCTTGCTCAGGCAAAATCAGAAACAAAAGCAGAACAGAGATTACGAGGGGCCAGGAGGAGATGGAATGAGGCATTACTGCTTAGTGGGACATTTTATTTCCTCTAGATGAGCAAAATATTAGCATACAGAGGTAGTGGATACACAGCATCATAAAATGATTAAAATGGAAAATTGTCTCATTTTATTTAAACAACATAATGCAAGGTATTCCACTTCTATTAATGGTGGATTTAAAACACAGGCCAACGCTCTTATGGATAGACAACAAATTATGGAAAAGCACAAAACAAAACATAAATTCTGAACAAAACATAAATTCTAGACAAAGCATAGAACAAAACTCGAATTCTGTCTTTTTGTTTTGTTTTGTTTTTGTTTTTCTGTTTTTCTTCCGGTACCAGAAATCGAACTCACGACCTTGTGCTTGCCAGGCAGGCATTTTTGCCGCTAAGCTAAATCCCCAGCCCCAAAACTCGAATTCTGGATAAAGCATGGAACAAGGCATAAATTCTGGACAAAGCACAGAACAAAATATACATTCTGAACAAAGCATAGAACAAAACGTAAATTCTAGAGAAAGCATAGAACAAAGCATAAACTCTGGACAAAGCATAAAGTCTGGACAAAGCATAGAATAAAACAAACTCTGGACAAAGCATAGAACAAAACATAAATTCTGGACAAAGCACAGAGCAAAACAATCTAAAGGCACTAAAGAACACCCAGAGTGGGAAGGAAATTGGGCAGGGGTTGACGGCAGGGACTGTGGAGGACATGAGGGTAGATTCTATTTTTTGTCTAAAAGAAGACCCCATTTGGGGCTAAAAAGAGACTGACAGCTGCCTGTCATGTCACCGACCGAGGAATCAGAGGACAGTCTGGGATACCTGTAGCAACGGGAAAATGAGAAGGGGAGATGCCAGGAGAAAGAGCTACTCAAGGAGCGGCCCACATTCTATAAATAAACTGCCCCGATGACCCGCTAACTCCTTATCTGTGCATCTGCGCATGCGCGGGACAGCTGAGCTACTGGTGAAGGCTAACAGAACTAATTAGACAGGTTTTTTTTTTGGTACTGGGAATCGAACTCAGGACCTTGCGCTTGCCAGGCAGGCGCTTGTGCCACTGAGCTAAATTCCCGGCCCTAATTAGACATTTCAGCTGCTGTTTGTCAAAGGGAACAGAGTTTGGGGTTTGCGTTCTGCCAATTTAACTATCTGGCTAAATAAAAAGCAATCCGTACACACCAGAAGATCGTATCACTTACAGCATTCAGGGGGAAAATATCCAAACTTATTAGAAATATGAAAAAAAAACATGAAAACATATGAAAAATATGAAAAGACAATGTAACCTAGATAAAAGGGTTAGCAGAAAAGGATTTCAAAGCAGCTATTACAAATATATTCA